ATATATATATATATATATATATATATATAATAAATTTCATGTGACAATACCAGAGAACAGAAATTTTTCACTTACCTGGATACGTAAAAAATAAAGATACACATAGGCACACTTTCACAAGCATTGCAAAGTTCATACCTCCTCCTAATACATAAAATAGAAAACACATAACTGAAATTATATTACGAGTTCTCATAAAACCATAAACAGCTGTTTTTCAAATTTTGTTCAAGTTCAGATATTGTTAACATTCACAAGTGCTTTACACCTAGATATGACATACAAAAATCTCATAAAACCATAAACAGCTGTTTTTCAAATTTTGTTCAAGTTCAGATATTGTTAACATTCACAAGTGCTTTACACCTAGATATAACATACAAAAATCTTAGTTTTCCTACAAATCTATATAATACACTTGAAAGCAAGGAACGTATAGATTTTGTGTACAACATGAAAAAAATCTAATTAAATAAAAAGGATATAAAAGCAACATTAAACACGTTGATGCATATAAAGCTTCTTAAATATTAGTTTCTCAAGTTCAAAAATTTCCACATATGGAATATAAATACAATAACTAGCCATTTCAATATCTGACTTTACAAATGATGTAGAAACTAGTACAAAACAACAGCTGTCAATTAAAAACTTGCTCAGTAATGTTATATATGACAAGAAAGTTACATTTCAGTTTGTATACTTAACAAATCCTGCTTCTATACTTATTGTTTCCTCGATCATTTAAACACAGACTACCAAATACACCCCATACTTTTTAACTTTTAATTACATTTTGTTGTTCACAAAAAAACATCACAATGCAGTTATTGAAATAAACTTTATACAAAAACCCTAGATTGTAAATAAAGAATTTACTAAACAAACTTTACAAAACTGCACAAATGGATCTATCTATTGAATTAACTGTTGTGAATCTATATATATACTGGTGAAATAAGCAGAAATTTAAAAGACAGATTTAATGAACACTAAGAATCATCACATGAAATTAACATTAAAAAAAAACTTTATCACAAAATAAGCAACAAAAACATAGGTTACAAATTCATTCAAGCTAGTCGTTAATTTTCTACAGGAATGAATCTTGTACTGTGAGTGAAATTGACAATATTCTGTACAGAATACAACATTATACAGTACATCATTTGGTAAATGAAAACCTTGACTTTCTATTGGTTATAGGTGATATATAATGCAACGTAAGAGAGAACTATCAATGATGTGTGAAAGAGAGAATGTGAAAGGTCAGTATTATTTTCTATTTGATAGTTCTGTAACCAAACAAAATTTAAGATTATAAAAATTATGGTTTGTTTGAGCAATAACAATTTTATAGAGAGTATTTTACATTTAATTTTGTACATTTTCGAGGGGTGATGGATAAAATAGAGATGATGACACACTAAAACAAAATGTGTCACGTGGATCACACTAGTGGAAATTCAGGATTTTTTAGTATTGCCTTGTAGAATTAAGAACTTAAAACTTGTATACTATTAAAATATGGATTATTAGCTATTTTAACTGGTATAACATAAAATTTTGAATGTAAGACATTAAAAAGCTTGTGTCATGCACAGTAAAGGGTACCTAGGGCGAGAGGGTTAAAGGGCTTACAGATGTCTCTTTCAATTAAAATTACATTCTCACATGTTGCAACCAGTTTTCCTTAAGGTATAAAACATGCATACTCTATCTTGGAGGAACTATTTCACATGTTGCAACCAGTTTTCCTTAAGGTATAAAACATGCGTACTCTATCTTGGAGGAACTATTTCACATGTTGCAACCAGTTTTCCTTAAGGTATAAAACATGCGTACTCTATCTTGGAGAAACTATTTCATTACTCTCTCTTTCCCTGTTTGAAGCCTTAGGGTTTTTGTCCACTTTACTTTGGTAAAGAGTTTCTATATTTTGGAGGATTAGTTGCTACTTCCACTGGTTAAATTAATCTCAGTCACTATGATGAATGCTTCGTCAGGCACTTTTATGTCTGTTATGGCCTCTTCACCCATGAACACAATCACCCAGTCCAATGAAGAAATTGCTTTGACTTTCATGTAAACCATCAGACACAGGTTGAATAGTTCTTGCCTGCTTCCATCGTTTTATTAATTTCTTTCTGTATCAAAGTTTTGGATTGAAAAGAGTTCTGCACTTCCTGGCATTCTTCAATTCTTTGTGTACAGCATCTCGAAGGTTAATTTTCTAAAGATTTTATAAACCACAACCAACGTGTTTGACATTAGATACCAAACATGAGCAAGTTATCTTCTGCAAGCCATTAAGTACTTTAATCACATAACTACCAACTTTTTACCTTGCCCTCCTTAAACTTACTGACCTGTTGGAACATTATGTCACTTTTCAGTGGAAGATGCTCATTCCAGGTCCTCAAGTTAAAGCTGTGAAAAATCAGGCATGCCCTTCACTACTGATGGATCAGGTATGACTTACTTTACCCTGAGTACTCTAAAGCTGGAACTAAGCAGCATATCCGAACCAGTCTCTGGAGGCGAATGATGAGTGATGTATACCTTCCTAATGATTTGGATTGCTCAACTAATTCCTGAGAACATTTCACAAAGCTTTTGAAACCTTAAAATAATGATAGGACATTGATAATTTTCTTCTGCCTTTGTCCCTCACTGACCAAAAAAATGTAATGACAGTCAAAGGAACCAGTACCTGGACATGCTATCTGCTATTTACCACTAATTTATGTGTCCTCTACTATATCTATAGTTGTTGGTGTGCAGAACTCAGACATTATTTGTACCAATGTGATATTCTCAAGTGAAATGATTTCCACACAAGTATTAGATATATAGATAGATCCACTAATAACAGCAGGGTTGGCCAGGAAATTTGTAAAGGTGTCTGTATTTGAAAACTTGACTTAGTTTTCTTGTGTGTGAACTAATGAGACAGAACAAGTTTTAAATGGAACACAATCTTTATCATTTAAAAAAACAATAAACATAGCATATGATCTTGCTCAGAGGCTGATAGTTGATTATCTACTAAGGTGTTGTTAGTCCTACAGCTTTCACTCCCTCAGTATTGATCTCTGCAGAGATAAAACATGATCTCAAATACTGTCTTTACACGAAGACCTCCTACTAGAAATGAACCAAGAAAGTGAACTTGAATTCATCAGGTAAACTCAATTTCTTTGTTCAGTTGACATGTCACCTCGTGATCCTTGTTTTCTCTCACAGCAGTGGTTGGCCTAATGTATAGACATTGTCAATTCAGTTAGCAAAGGTATATTATAGTCATTGATCCTTTCAACATAGATGCAATATTACAGTAATATCCCCTTTGGCAGAATAGGTATTATCTACTACTACAGAGAACAAGGAAACTTCAATGGTTTTCTGGACCATGTGTTTATGCTACAACTGCATAGAAACTAAATAAACAAAAAATTGTAAAAGTTACTTTATAACTAAAAATATGTAGAAAAAATGGTATGCCAGTATTTTGCACCAATACAAAAATTAATTAATAATTTCAATTACTAGCAGCATAATGAATGGAATACATAACTGAATAAAGTTGGCAAACTTCATGAAAAAATCTTCATCTTAGTAACAGATTTATCCAAGTCCAACCCAGTTTGTAATAACGACTTAAAATATAAAATGCAAAACTCTATGATAACAAAGAAAATGCAAACAAAATAATTGGATGACAAATTTGAGCTAAGGAGATGAATAACCATTATGGAAAGCTCAAAAATTCAATGGTCAATTATTGTTGTATAAAGGCACTTTCTACCTTGACTGAACAAAGCTATTTTAATAAGTTGCAGTTCATCTGCTTAACACATTACTTTGTTACACTATGTTGTGAAATCTTCAAGCTATTTTTCTATAATTTTTCTGCTTTACATACTCAAGAAGAAGAATTACTGTATCTAGCCACAGATGCATACAAAAGAATAAAGAATCAGAACACTATACACCTTTTTATACTTTCAGATAGTTGCTGATGTTTGTGATTACCACAATGTACAAATCCTTATCTTTCATATCTTACTTAATGGAAAAACTATGAGAAACAAACCTGCTTTCCAAAGTTGATACTCTTTCATAACTTACTTAATGGAAAAACTATGAGAAACAAACCTGCTTTCCTAAGTTGATACTCTTTCATAACTTACTTAATGGAAAAACTATGAGAAACAAACCTGCTTTCCAAAGTTGATACTCTTTCATAACTTACTTAATGGAAAAACTATGAGAAACAAACCTGCTTTCCAAAGTTGATACTCTTTCATATCTTACTTAATGGAAAAACTATGAAAAACAAACCTGCTTTCCAAAGTTGATACTCTTTCATAACTTACTTAATGGAAAAACTATGAGAAACAAACCTGCTTTCCAAAGTTGATACTCTTTCATAACTTACTTAATGGAAAAACTATGAGAAACAAACCTGCTTTCCAAAGTTGATACTCTTTCATAACTTATTAATGGAAAAACTATGAGAAACAAACCTGCTTTCCTAAGTTGATACTCTTTCATAACTTACTTAATGGAAAAACTATGAGAAACAAACCTGCTTTCCAAAGTTGATACCTTTTCATAACTTCACGATTAAAGTACATATGCTAAATGGAAATTCTTATCATCCACTGGGATGACCTCAGTACAGAACTACTCTATTAGCTGAAGTTTATCCATGGGGCAAAGCTATCTAAAAACAAATATAGCCTAAAAAGCTTTTCATTAGACAAGCACTCAACTGACTGTTTAGACACGCATATGAAAAATATAAAAACCTTCAAATCATAATAATATGTACTTCTGTTGAATACCATCAGCCATATCATCACAATTAACTGTTCAGCAGACTAACTGGTTATTTATGAATTTGTTTCTTTAGCCCTAATCTATTCCTTGTATTAATAGAAGAAAAATAAAATAAGCATTAATTATTCGTGAACTAAAATCTAATTTATATCAAAACACAGGTGTCACCCTATATGTTTTCTAAGTTGGACACAATGCTTGTGTAGTATTTCACACAACAGACAACAGGTACCTGATGATGGCCACAAGAGTGGTCGTAATGTTGTAATAAAGTTAAATTAAAAAAATCAATCCACTCAAAAACTATATCTCTGGACTTTTATTTAAACATAGCCACTAATACTATGCCTTGTCATAGCTACAATGTAAAAGATTCCTTTATGTAGTTACATGTAACTTATTTGGCAATGATTCAAAGCGTTAAAAATCTTAGTTACTTTATCATGTTAAATGAAATATTATCTAAAACTACATACTTTAATACTGGGTTTATTAGCTTTTAAGTAACAGTAAAGAGTGGAAATGGGACAGTGAAAAAGTATTTTTAATTATTACCTTTTTCTTAATGGAAAAACTTCAGATGTCTTAAAATGATTTTATTAACATTTATATTAATATTCCTAAAGTTGACCTTTAACACAGTGTATCAGATTGGCTTCCTGGTCAGTTATTACATGCTAAAAACTTTATCAGAATATCGTTCCTCTTCTTTTTGATCCCTAGTAGATTGATCTGTGTCTCATGGATATACTTCCAAACACAAATAAAAAAGTTGGCATTTCTACCAACTGTTTTATTTTGATGCACAGCCTCCACTAATAATCTAAAATATTTAAGGCATTTCAAAACAACTGACCATATCATCACTATTAACTTTCCATTAATACTCAGCAGACTAACTGGTAATATATTCATTTATGAATATCTTTTCTTCAGGCCTGATCTATCCCATGATTTGCTACTTCTGCTGCAGTACACTTGTTTGACTGAGTTCATGACTCATTAGTATTGCTTGAAAGAGCAACGCAAATAAATGAAGAAAGATTTATATAGTGATGTAATTTATGTTATTTGTTTGGTTTTGATGTAAAGTTATTCATTCATCACTTATAACCTAAAATACTTTAGGAGTTTGAATAATATGTAACTATACTGTCACAATTAACTATTCATTTTTATTCCTAACCAAAATGTGACTTTCTGTGAAGAAAAGTTAACAAAGAGGCCTAAATCTATTCCTTGACTGGCTACTACTACTCCTACAGTAAACTAGTTCTACCAAGTTCAAATAAGCAAATGTAATGTTTAAATAGGTGAGTTAATTACACTTTAAAACATCACTGATAATACTCTACCTTTTGACAGATTTAATGTGATGATTTCATTAGTCTCTGGTCCAAAAGACTGTGAAAAAAAGAAAGAAATAAATCTAATAAATTAAAATTCATACATGTGAACTTTGATTTGTAAACTATTAATTAAATCAAACAGTCAGTAAACACCCTTGTTATGTTTAAGCAATACTTTATGTTACATAAACTTGTGACTGTATACTTAAAGTATGGACATAATATGTATTGAATGATGTTTGCATGGCTGAAAAACTTGCCATGAATTTTTAAAATAAAAAACAATCATTTAGTTGAATAATTATTGTTAAAAGTATAATACATTTATAACTAAATTATGTACAAGTGTATATCACTGTTAATTTTGTCTGCCTAGTTGTTGTTTAGGAAGGAAGCACAAAAACGTATGAAAACCAAAATGTGCATAAATTGGGAGAACTATCACATTTGTGTAATAATTATTTCTTTTCAATAGTATTCAATAAACCGTAAAGTTAACAGAACAACTTTAAAAAGTAAGGTAGGTAAAATAAGTGACCAATACTCTAAGACAATCTGTAACTTCATCATAGTATATGCAATGAAATAAACTGACTAATTATTAAGATTTTAAGCCAATAAGCTGACGTGAACCTTAGAGTCAACAGTTTTAGGGCTGACTAACTAAGAACATATGAATCATCTAACAGAGCTACTGAACCAGTAAAGCCTACAGTTCATTCAGTTAGGACATAAAACCAGTATAATGTATGAGTCAGCAGAATGCCTTGTAGGTTGTTCTTATGTCTTTTTGATCAGTAGAGTCTTTGAGTTGTCCAGTAAGTGTTTCAGGACCAGTAGAGCCTATAGGTTAACAATTAAAACTATTGGACTAATACAACTAATTCACCTTTAGGCTGTACTAGTCCAATAGTTTTAATTGTTAACCCATAGGCTCTACTGGTCCAATAATTCTAATTCTTAACCTTTAGGCTACTGGTCCAATCATTGTAATGGTTAACCTGCAGGCTCTACTGGTCAAATCATTCTGATGGCTAACTTACAGGCTGTACTAGTCCAGTAATTCTTATTGTTAACACATAGGCTCTACTGGTCCAATAGTTCTAATTCTTAACCTTTAGGCTGTATTAGTCCAATAGTTCTAATTCACCTTTAGGCTGTACTAGTCCAATAGTTTCCAATCATTCTAATTGTTAACCAACAGGCTCTACTGGTCCAATCATTCTAATTGTTAACCTGCAGGCTCCACTATTCCAATCATTCTAATTGTTAACCTGCAGGCTCCACTATTCCAATCATTCTAATTGTTAACCTGCAGGCTCTACTGGTACAATCATTCTAATTGTTAACCTGCAGGCTCTACTGGTCCAATCATTCTAATTGTTAACCTGCAGGCTCTACTGGTCCAATCATTCTAATGGTTAACCTGCAGGCTCTACTGGTCCAATCATTCTAATGGTTAACCTGCGGGCTCCACTATTCCAATCATTCTAATTGTTAACCTGCAGGCTCCAGTAGAGCCTGTAGGTTAACAATTAGAATGATTGGAATAGTGGAGCCTGCAGGTTAACAATTAGAAGGATTGGAATAGTGGAGCCTGCAGGTTAAAAATTAGAATGATTGTACCAGTAGAGCCTGCAGGTTAACAATGAGAATGATTGGACCAGTAGAGCCTACAGGTTAATAATTATAATGATTGGACCAGTAGAGCCTACAGTTTTAACAATTAGAATGACTGGACTAGTACAGACTATAGTTTAATAATTAGAACTATTGCACCAGTAGAGCCTACAGGTAAACAATTAGAATGATTGGACCAGTATAGTCTAGGTTAACAATAAGAACTATTGAACCAGTAGAGCCTACATTAAGAATTAGAGCTATTGGACCAGTACAGCCTATGGATTAACAATAAGAACTACTGGACCAGTAGTTCCTATAGGTTAAAAATTATAATGACTGGACCAGTAGAGCCTACAGATTAACAATTAGAATGAATGAATCAGTAGAGCCTGCAGGCTAACAATGAGAATGATTGGACCAGTAGAGCCTACAGATTAACAATTAGAATGAATGAATCAGAGAACCTACAGATTAACAATTAGAATGAATGAATCAGTAGAACCTACAGGTTAACAATTAGAATGAATGAATCAGTAGAACCTACAGGTAGAATCTATACGTAAATAATTAGAACTACTGGACCCGTATAATCTATAAGTAAATAATTAGAACTATTGGACCCGTATAATCTATACGTAAATAATTAGAACTACTGGACCAGTAGGAACCTATATGTTAATAATTAGAACTATTGGACCAATATGAATCTATATGTTAATAATTAGAACTACTGGACCCATAGAATCTATACGTAAATAATTAGAAACTACTGGACCAGTATGAACCCATATGTTAATAATTAGAACTACTGGACCCGTAGAATCTATACATAAATAATTACAACTACTGGACCCGTATAACCTATATGTAAATAATTAGAACTACTGGACCAGTATGAACCTATATGTTAATAATTAGAACTACTGGACCAGTATGAACCTATATGTTAATAATTAGAACTACTGGACCTGAAGAGTCTATAGGTTAACAATTAGAATGACTGGACCAGTAAGAACATGAGCTACCAGCTGGAACTACTGTACTACTAGAGCTTATGGTCAATGATCAAGAAAAACAGTTGCTATTAGTAACTGAGTTAGGATTATGTTTGAAATAATAATAAATTTAATAACTATTAGTAAAATTCTTGTTTAATGGCTTTCTGAAGAATTTTTTCCATTCATTTTGGAATAGAGAAAATATTTGTATAATAGAGTGCAAAAAATTTCACTTACCATATAACCTGAAACACCAAAGGCTATGTACAAGGCAGTTGAAAAAGAAATTGTAATGATAAAATATCTGAAATGAAATTAAAAGCTTTATAATAAATACTAAAGTATATATGTTTAAAATCATCATTTGAACTTTCAAATACTCAAACTTGCAAAAATGTCAATTTCACATCTAAAAATAGAAGTTCAATTTTCAAATAAATTATCAAGTGGCTAAAAAAGCAGTTAAATTTAATGTCCATTACATAGTTCACATATTACCAGTGTGATATTCAAAATATCACACACCAAAGTTCTACATATGATTACAAGGAGAAACACAAAATGATTCAAAACACAAGTATTTATATATCTTAAATAAAGATGAATACCACAAACTACCTCAGTTATCCTTTTCTTAAATGAATTTCTAATGGAAAAGTCAAACATCTCTATATATTAAATAATGTATTGCTGAGCAAATGAAATATTCACTTAATAATTTTGAAAGCAGATCCAAGTCTAGAGAAACTGCTCAGCTGATACCAGGCTTCCATCAGTGGGTGATGTTAGCAAAATTACACTGCTATGAAAATATCTAATTCTAGAAACATTCTAGGCACTTGTAATGTCACCCCCCCCCCTGGGATTTTCAAAAAGAAAAAACAACTGAATATGCACAATTATTCTTCTATGTTATTAAAAAATCATAAGGTAATGTTATTTGTATTTGTACTTCATAATTTTTTCAAACTTGAGTTACTTGACCCCCTAATTTTTTTATGCGGGTGTCCTTGATAGTGATTATTTTCATACGAGACAAGATTTTCATTCTTCGCAATAGTAAAAGTAGAGATATCTACTGTTTCATAGGATATACATCATTTTAAAAAATTTGATCATCCCACAATTATTTTTCAAATGTACAGTTATTATTTACAGGAAGTGGCTAGCAATTTTTAAAAATTTTTCTTTTTTTAAAGAAAATCTGACACAAATATGCTGTAATTTTAAAGCAATTAGCATATAATGAAAAGAAAAATAAACATATGATATATTTGCAACAATGTTTCCTAGTGGTAAGTGCTAAAGAGTTTTTATGAAAAGGTTGTAGGTCTGAACCTCAACCACACGTAATCATTATGTCCTTGAGCAAGACACTTTAAGCCAAACTTTGTATCAGGTTACTTTGTTACAAAATGGGTACCAGATAATAACTGGGGGTCAATATGCGATGGAATGGCATCTTGTCCAGGAAAATTTGTCACCTGCTTGTGCCACAAGAAACTGGAGTTGAGCATCAGCCCTAGGTGTTTGTAAGATACAGAAAGGACTTAAATAACTAGTAGTTATTTAAGTCCTTTCTGTATCTTACAAACACCTAGGGCCGATGCTCAACTCCAGTTTCCTGTGGCACAAAGAAATATTTACTTCAATGACAAATGAGGTGCATTAGCGTATACACACAAGCACCTAACATAAAAAAGGCACAACCCTCAACTCTGATTATAGGAAGGGTAAAACATTCCCCACCCACACGTTTTAGTGTACATACGCTATAATTAACAACTATGTTAGACTGACAAAATGATCATGATTATTATTAGATATTTTGAACTAAAGGTAATATCAATGCTATTGACAAGTACTTTGAACTGTTGTTTATAGTTACCTTTAAGAACAGCAATCCTTGTTCTTTGTGATTTAACATCAAAATGTTTCATTCAATTTTCAGTCTTTTAACCACCAACCTTCCAATAAGGTTACACACTAATGAGTATACAGTTAACTTAGTTTAATACTAATACCAGTACATGTAGGTGGACTTAAAACATGCATGGTATTCCTCTTTACCTAAGAATAAATAACCTACCTAGTAAAATAACTAACAGAGAATTCAACAAGAAGAAAAATCATCAACCCAATATATCAAGAACACAGGATCCAGCAAACTGTAAAACCACAAACTCAACACACCAAGAACAGAGAATTCAACATACTGGAAAATCATCTACCCAATATACCAAGAACATAGGACCCAGCAAACTGTAAAACCACAAACACAACACACCAAGAACAGAGGATTCAACATACTGGAAAATCATCAACCCAATATATCAAGAACACAGGACCCAGCAAACTGTAAAACCACAAACTCAACACACCAAGAACATAGGACCCAGCAAATTGTAAAACCACAAACTCAACACACCAAGAACAGAGGATTCAACATACTGGTTTACAGTTTGCTGGGTCCTGTGTTCTTGGTATATTGGGTTGATGATTTTTCCTCTGTTCTTGGTGTGTTGAGTTTGTGGCCTATAGAGGAGGTTAAAAAACTAACAGTAAAAATGTAAGATACTTTTAGAAATGATAGTAAAGTATTAACTTTACCTATAGAGAAGGTTAAAAAAGCTAACAGTAAACATATAAGATACTTGTTGTCCTTCATATTCCGTTACACTGACGTGTTTGACAGCTTTCACTAAGCTGAAACATTTATAATGTTAATTACCCACAGCTTATTAGATACAATAGAATGAATTTCCTCAAACTGCATTTTGAACATGTCATCAAATTCATTCGGTTTTGTGGGAGATTCAACAACATTTGTGTAACCAAATATGGGCTTAAATGTGTTACAGAATATCATAACCTTCTTAAAACCTTCACATCTACATTTTAATTTCTTAGAAATTGTTTTATGTAATATTGAACCACTATAGTGTAATGACAACTAAACATTTCACCTCCTGTTGGTCTAAGCTCTTACTATATATTTAATATATCCTGTATAGTATAACATCTCTTCATCAGTTCAGTTTTATTAGTTTTTGCTTTGTTATATTCGTGTTACTGTTACTTCCTTTTCTAAGTCATATCATTCGTTTTGAACTTTTTCAGATCTCATATATTTACTTTTTGGTTGGTAATGAGGATTTAATTTAACTACTTCCTGTTGCCTGTTCCATGTGTTAAGTTAAAACTGGGTTGTGACCTGACCCCATAAAGTAGTCACCAATGCTGAAATCTGTGCTCCACCCTGGAGAAGGATCCCCACTGGTAAGATCATGCACCAAAGCAGGATGTATGGAAATTTGAACAAGAGATGAAGTAAACTGTCCTGTTGAAGAACTGTGGAATAGTTGAGAAGCCAGTGTTGAAAATGAAAAATGTAGACAGGACACGTCTACTCAAGATTCCATGGAGTCTGGAATTCCGCAACATAGCGTATCTGAGAAAAGGAGCTTCTCCAGGATCTCTATGGACCGACGTAGGAAGGCAAACACCCTCCAGTAAGGCATCTCTCTCTCTTAAAGATCCCAGCAACAAACCAACCAAGATACCAAGATGAGAGCAGAAGCCTATAACCTAAGTAAAAGTGGAAGTCAATAAATGGCTAAGATTCTCCAAAATTTGAGCAGGGGATCTATGATAGGCCTCAGACAACAGTTGCAAACAAGATAAAAAATGCAAAACTGTGGTAAGGGACAGACAAATTCTGGAAAACTAAGATTGATTAAGATAAATGGTGGCATCTTGTCTAGAGTCCCAAATATGAAGTAGAGGGTCTAACCTCTGGGAGTCCAAATAAAGGTTCTCCAGGTGATGGAAAGCCAAGGCATGCTTATCCAATAAATGAGAACAAGGCATGGCAACACCCTCCCTCAATATATGTATAACTCTCCTTACAGCAATTTTTGGCAAAGGTGGAAGGATCAGTTAATCAAACAAACTAGTTTCTCCCAATAAAGAATGTGAAGATTCATAAGCCACATGAAATATACTCAAAACATTACAAATGTGGCAAACTAGTTGTAAAAAGGGTGCAGGAAACAGAATATCCATCCAAGGTCCATGAGTAGCTGTCTGAGCAAAGGAAGGTACTGGAAAAATAGAGTCTAAATTCTCACTAGTCTGCCATTGATCTACCACAAACTCAGCCTCAGAGCCAACAGGAGAAAAAGCATCAGACTGCATGTATGACTACCCCTCTGCATATAAGAAACCGTATGTCCTCTGCAAAAGGTGCCCCACTCCTCCGATGCCCTGGCAACATTACACTCATGAGGTGGTAGAGAAGGGGCATTGGAGGACTGTGTCTGAGATGTGAACATGAGTATTCATATTTGAAAAACATTCCCAAATTTTTTTATTGTGAAATCAAAAATATAAACAATAAACTTAAATAATTCAAAAGAACAGTTGCAAATTTAGTATTAGCACTGGTGAGAAACACGTAAGACCATCTTCAAAATTTTTGCCATTGAGAAAAAATGAATAAGAAAGAATAACGAGGAGCTTACAAACGGATCAGGTATAGAGGGCACACTGATGTAGGTGGGGAGATATAGTGGGGTATAAAGACTGCAGCAAGTGAAGAAGAATTCGTACCAAGGCTTAGATGAGCCAAGAAGAGAATCTTTCATTGAGATAGAGCTAAAGTGTGAGAGGAGGTAAGTGTGTTTTGGAATTCAGTGTTTGTTTTGTATATTTAAAGGTTTCACATAACACATGCTCAAGGAAGCCACTGATTTCATTCTAGCTGCCTTTGTTATTCATGAGTGGATAATACTTGTTCTGCCTAGGAGACAAGTTGCTCAGTTATTTGTTTTCTCTTGAAAAAAGAAGTTATAGGAGGAGCTGATTGAGTTATTTAATACTGTTAAGAGAACCGATAGTGTTGATGCATAATTTTTTTGTACTTAATGGTGAAAATGCTAAGACTAGAGGACACAAATATAAATTTTGGAAGATAGGAGTCATCGTCAGCAAGACTACTTTATTTTTCTAACAACATGGTTGGTCTTTGGACTGAGTTGGCTTCAGATATAGTAGATGCAGTAAAAGAACATGTGCACGAGTATACTGATAACATTATGTTCCTGTACTACATGGTCTGATATATACTACATGTACAATTACACTGATAATATTACATTCCTACACTAATTTTTACCTTCTCATATTGGATTAGTGCAACTGAAAGTTAAGTGTCCTTAATTTAAGTAATGATCATTTTTTTGCCATTAAAAAAAAATTAAAATACTACATTACGAGAGGAAAAGATTACATAAAACCATCCAAAGAATGATTATTTTAAATCTTTTATTTCAACATCAATCAATTTTACTGTCAGTACATGTAACTTATAAATATCATGGAGTAATGAACAAAACCTTATAACTATCACTTATTTGTATAAATAGGTTGCTGAATACACTGTGAAAGAATACTCTATGCTACAAATACCAAAACATAATGTCTTTACAACTGTTTAATGGTATTCAATATATGAAGTCTACAAAATTACAATGTACAAAAGCTCATACGTTAGTAATACTGAAACTACTTAATTGACATACAAATAAACAGGCAATGTCTTAAGAGAAACTAAACAAATAAGCACATACCTATTAAACAAATGTCGAACTCCTTTCAAACAAGAAGCTTCAAGAGAAAGAATCATTCCAGCACCCTAAGAAACAATAATAATAATATCTAAGTTTGCACAGTAAATTTTAACAAAAGATACCTTATTAACTCTTGCAACAAAGTCAGTTCAATTAACTGTCCTTCTAACCATTTTGTACTTGTTATAGTTTCCATACTATAACTTTTAATACATTTTGTGTTTCTACACAAAACTTAGCAGACTTTTAGTAAACATTACGAGTCTTTTGTACACAAAAATCAGATTTTTTTTAATGGAGTATTTTTACTAAAGATTTGTCCATGAATATATATAGTATTTCTATATACTAGTCTGAGTGCCAAGTGATTTCCACATTAAGATTAGAAATACTTTTCTTCATCTCAAAAATCTCAAATTTTATTTGCATAATCTCTGAAACCTCCTAAATAAATTCCAAACGTTTTTTCAGTAAAACTTTATATTTTATCTGTTATTTTCTCTACTCTATATTTATACAAGGTTGGTCAATTTGACCAACCTTATAACCACCAAGAAAAAATTGAAAAAACTAAATTACCCTTTTTTCTTTCCAGAATGACTTCAAACTGTAACATGTAACTACATTTATTTGTCCTTAATAGATTTACACTCATAACAATATACACGTATTTATACTGAGATTTTACTGTTTTATTGCCCTTTGAACCATGTTTCACTAATATTGATAATAATACTAAATCATTCTTGTGTTAAACTAAATTAAAAATGTACATGTAGATGGAGCTTATGTAAGAATGCAAGGATAATGCCACTAAAAATGATTAGCATTTATTGTATCTTTATAAATCTGGCCATTAATTATTAGCAAAATAAAGAAATTTGGAATCTTTTTTAACTAGGTTTTATTAAAGTGTTTGGTTAATTATTATACTAGTTAGAAATTTTGATTTTCATTGGCTAATGTTCAATAACTGGCTCCTATTTCTAAATGTAACCTGACAGTTATGAAGAAGTTAAAATTTGCTTCCATTGTTTTCTTTTCATGTCTAAATTTCTATTGAAATCAAATGGTGTCCATAAAGTTGATGTTGTGATTGTTAGTCTAAGCACAGAATATAAGGACATATAATTTTTTATATTCCAGTCTTTGATGTTGGTCTGTGATTATTCATACATACATAAGGTGACATTTCAGGTTCTCTAACGTATCCTATATTGTGTTACACTGAGTACCATATATATATATATATATTTTTTTTTTTTCTGGGAGTCAATGCTTACAGACATGTTCTGTGATGACAGAATGTACATGGATGTGGTCTATATATCATATAATTCATTTTAATTGCTCACAATCTGGAAGATGGATTTCTCATCTTGTTATAATAGACGTAGTGGGTATGTCAGCATCTATGTATATATCCAAAACTCCTGTGCCATCTATTGAATGGCACCACAAACAAAAAATCCATAAAACATTTTACATTTTGGGTATTCAAGATTCAGACAATTAGAAACATTACTGTGGTATGTGCAATAACCATTTCTTTATAACAACCACAATTTTAAATAAAAGTACTCTCCTTACAACAAGAACATGACTTTCACCAGCACTGTACATGAGGGTTTGATTATATCTTTATTGGTGTAATTTTGAAATGTAGTAATGAGAAACTGAAGTTATTAAAAAACTATTATATAAACGGTATTTATAAAAAACATTACAGTTTAATACTATGATTGGTAATTCCTAGCACAAACAGCTGCCCGTAGGGAAGCATTTCCACAAGTACTTAGAACTGCTGGTTTCATTGATGATTTATTTTAACCTTAACAGATACTTGTTCTTAATTAAAATTGTTTTCAAAATACTTTAGTTGTAATCAACATAATTAATTTACATGTTCTCTATTCTTTGTATTAAAGTTTTTGTAATTCAACATAATTAGTACTACAAATTCTCTATGTTCTGTATTAAAGTTATAATTTTCCCAATCTGAAAATGTATTTCCAAACATACTTGCCTCCGCTGACACATGTAGTTATTTCTCGATTTTCATCTTTGCCATCTACACATCGTGTTCGCTTGCTCTAGTCTTTATACCATACTTGACTTCCCTTGGTAATATCTAATTTGCAAAACTTTATCACATGCCATTCACCATGCTGGCTCTTAGTGGGAGGAAGGGAGGGAGAGTGTCAATGGAGGTAAGTGTGTTTGGAAATACATTTTCATATTAAGAAAATGATAAATTCCATAACACCCAGAACTACAGAAAAGTGAAAAGGGTGGAATATTACACAAGTAATTATGATGGGCCAGCCCCAACCACGCAGCTGAGGTTCCATAACTCGGGGCTGGATTTAAGAGGCCATGGTACTCATATCCCCCGTTGGTGGCAAGGGCAGTTGGACTGCAAATATATACATCTTTGTGATAGGATCTCCACCAGCAACCACAGAACAATGCATTTCAAACAACCAGATTTACGAAAGAAAGCAACACCAAAGTGGATAATCCTTTTGATCAACCTGAAGAAGTCCAAAAGGCAACACCCAAGCTTGAATTAACAGGATCATATATGCCATACTCCACCCACTGATTAGGAGGAGGGACCGGTGCAAGAGAAGAACAGACGTACACCCCGAAAGCATCCACAGGATACTTCTGTAGATGATAGCGTTAGATCTGAAGATCCGTAAAGGGGAACCACACCACTTCTAATCCAGGTATAATCTTTGCTCATATGTGGAATGTGTAAGAAATCATGGCAGAAAATGAGAGGAGCACTTTTGAGTGAGAGAGAATGTGGTAGGAAAGTGATCCAAACCAGAGAAAAATATACTAACTCAATCACACAATAAGAAAACTGGGTAAACAAGGATGCATCACTTAGTAAGTCAGCTACATCCAAAATATCCTCACAAGGTACCAACATCGCTCGAGGGTAGGATGAGGATCATAACATTTTCACCTCAAATCCAAGAATTGAGGAATTGAGAACCACTCCAATTCTTGGGTATTACACAAAATTAGCTCTAAGCTATATATCCAGGAATTTGACATCTGGTATCAAAAGGAAGTCTATCACATGCAATCAACTTCTGTGACTGTGAAACAGGTCAGGACCATCCAAAAGGCAATAACATTGATGTAATAAGAGAGAATGAGAGAGAGCCAAGGATAAAACTGAAATAAATCCAACATATCCCTACTGTGACCCACAACACAGAAGGAGACATTGAGGAAGGAAGACAGACAACCCTAAACCTGTATGAGGACTTATGTTGATTGGTTCACTAAAAATCCAAAACAAGCCTGCAGGGTACCAATATCCACACGAGGGTAGGATGAAGGACTCCAATCGAAGGGATGAGCTGCATTTTGATGTCTCACTCTGTTGTATGGTCAATCACAGATCAGAAGATATTACATTATCTTTACTGGCAGAACACCACTGTCCTACTCTGAACTGAATGTTTATAGCCATCTTATGTGGAACCCATCCAGCAGAGTGCCTCCATGGTCGACCATCCCAGTGGCTTGGAACTGGTAAGGACTTCCATACTCTGCTAGAAGAAAAGGAGGGCTGAGAATGCATTGGAGAGCCCAGAGGAAAGTTGACACCTGAGACAGTGCAATGGGTGATCACAAAACCCTATTTTGAAAAGCAGACCATACCGATTTATTAAATTGAGGCATGGCAGGGATGGGCAGCTATCCCCTTCTGCTTTACCCATGAAGTCCATGGGTGGTATGGTCCAAGACGGGCCAATTTAGAAGCAAATATCACAAGGTTGTACACCTACAAGTGATCTTGTGAAACACCCCATCTCAGAGGTGAGCATGCAAAGCCATGGAAAGGAAAGTGCAGATTTAGAGTTAAAGAACACCTGGTCAAGCACCACTCGCCACAGAGTGGAATTCATGTAATGAACACATGAAAAATGGGCCCCTGAAAGAAAGGAAAGTATTAATAAAGATTTACACAGTGTCAGAGTCACACTGAAGTCTGAAGTACAGCCACAGGTAGAAGGCTTAAAACCTGAGAAAGCCAAAACCATGATATGATGTAAATAATGGGAGATGAACATGTTAAGGTTGGTCCACATGCCTAACTGTAGGATTTCCTCCAAAGACAAGAAGCGAGAGAAAAGACGTGGTGTCAGATTTGATGAGAGGTAACACAGAATAAAGTATGGTGGGAAGGGGACAAGAAGGAATAAGCCAACTGGGTCAAACAATGAACCCAATTGGTAACATCTCTGGATGAAGAGGATTGCCATGGGATAAAGAGACAAGAATGGGAACTACGGAAGGAAGCTGTGCAGACCATATAACAATGAAGGGAATGCATAGGACATAGAAGTCTATGCAGATTGGGACATGGGTAGAGATGAGAAATAGAGGGAAAGAAAATAGGCAACAAAGAGGAGGAAGCGGAACACATGCCGATGTGTGAGTCTTGTCCAACCATCGAAGGAGATCTTCTACAAGGGAAGGAAGAAGTCTTATAGAAGCATCAAAGGGATCCCAATCCCAAGCAAGGTTACAGGGATTGTGCACAGCCCACTGAATGGAGCACATGGCTGAGGGGGATTAGTGGTGTCATAGAAGACCGCATCCCCCAAAGCGACAGAACCTCACGTGCAGAAAGTGAGGGATCAGATAGGGCATAGTGAACTGACAATTCCATAGAATGGAGTTGGAGAGGAGAAGGTTGGGCCTGACTGAGGTGAGTGTTAAAAAAGACACCCAAATGCACAAGGTATTGGGTAGGATGCAGGAAGGACTTCTCCAATTTGATCAACCAGCCTACCTGAGCAGCTTCGAGAAAGAGCTGACAAGTATGACTGACCGACTCCAGGGCCAGAAGTAGCCAGCCATCCTGTTTTTAATGGCAGATATTTTACTATTTCATGTACATGGGTAGGTTTATGACCTAATCAGGTATAAGCTAATGAGCTGTCTTTAATGACAGATGTTTGACTATTTCATGTACATGGTTAGGTTTATGATCTGATCAGGTATAAACTAATGGGCTGTCTTTAATGGCAGATATTTGACTATTTCATGCACATGGTTAGGTTTATGACACTCATGCTATTATATTGTTGCCATTTGGATTTGCATTTCTTTCTTTCTGTTTTTATTAGCAAACATTATATAATAAATGAAGAAGAACATAAGCTGAAATGTTTTGAAGTATTTTTGAAATGTTTATGCTGAAGAATGGATTCTGAAATGTCCATGTTCTTTATTCTATCAACAATATTATGATTTTAAACCTCTGCCAAACGAGTTCAAATTGTTTTACACTAACAATATTATTCCAACAATAGTCATGTGACACCTGTTTGCATGCATATAGTGGTACACAGTTCAAAGCCTGTTACTGATCAGCATTGCCAAGTTAGCATATTTCCATTTCAGGAGTCACTTTTTCTAGAGATCGTTTTATGGAAAATTTGGTTGGTTTGTCATCAAAGTGGAAGTGGTGGGGTTAGACTTTCAATGCTGTTTCCAGGACATTTTGATAAAAACCATTGATTTTCATAACCTGAGCAAACTCTGATTTATAATATTATGTGCAGTTTTTCTAATATATTTTGTAAATACATTATGAAAAAAGCACAAACACTATTTTTCTTAGAAATCCATTAATCTTAATTTTAAAATATATATTTGGCCTTTACCTAGTCTCCAGTTTATTTACCTTCTAGGAAAGAACATAATAAGTTAAAGTAAGTTCAGTTTATAGAACTTTGTAACAACAGACTGAATAAGAAGTATTTATAGATCGCTAAGCCAATGAATATAAGTAATAATATCTAAAACCAGGAAAGCAAGTTTCATCTTGTGAGAAATACTATGAAACAATCAAGGACACAAATCAATGCATTACATGGGATATGTTATTGTATACAAAGGACATAAGAATTGCTCCTATCCAGTACAAAAACCTTTCCTACAAGATGGCCATGATAAAGCTAAAACTAAGAAAAAAAAGAGTTGGCACATAGTGACTAACTTCTGTGGGATAATAAACCTTCTTGATATTGTTCAGCAGCAAAGATTCTACAAGTAATGGCATAATTTCTCACGAATCACAATTTTATCAGACTTTTGGTGAATGGACCCTGTTCTGGGATATTTTATATACAACCAAAGTAATACAAATTTTCATGTATATAATAAAGAGAAAGAGATCATAAGCATGCAAAAATTGTGATTTGCATGCATATTAGGAGACATCATTTATTGTTTTAATGTCATATTAGATTTGATAAGGAATGACAGTGAAAATATAGTTTGAATACAAAAGAAAAAACATTTGGTATTTCTTTTGTTAAATAGTAATGCAAACAAACAAAACATATGAAATTATTCTGATTTCTCAAAATTGTTTTACAAAAATTGTGTGTATTTGTTATCTGGCCAATCAACAAACTCAAAGCAACATTTAAGTACTTGTATGTTATTTGTACTTTATCTTAGACAGGTTTCCATTCATACCAGTTTTACAATATTCTAATTTATTAGGTGAGTTAAATGGTAGATTTTATAAATTTATGTATTCTTGTTTCAAATAATAATGTGATATAGTAAATGTGATCAGAATTTATGAAAATATATATACTTAATTTTACATTCAAACTATTGTTTTTCTTCCTTAAAATTAGGAAAGTTGTTATATGTTATCATAATTATAAGTGGTACTGTTGTGGTTATAATAGTGTATTATATTTGTACTACAACATGCACGTAGTGATTATATCATAATTATAGTGGTACTGTTGTGGTTATACTATTGTATAAAAATGAGGTAACCAAATTTTGGCTTTGGAGGAGACTTGATAAAACCATATGAATAATGTGTTAGCCACACCCCAACCACAGTGGTACCATGAATTAGATCCTGCACCCATGAGTATTGAAACAAAACTAAAGTTCACTCAGTTATATGTGATTCAGACCCAATGCAAAGAAAAAGATACACATTACTATTATTATTTGTGAAAGATGAATAAAAGCAATTTTTGTGTAATTTTTTAATTTTGTTCAACAAGTAATTATAAATTACTTGAAGAGTTGCTAAATGTCATGTTTATAAAGAAGATTTAAATTGTACAGAATGCTTGAATACTGATCTCACCTCATAACAGTAAATTGCCATTGCAAAAAAGAATGGAAATCCTTTTAGTGAAAACTCTTTAGGATGAAACCTGAAAAATTGGAAGAGAATTAAAATACACAAAAAAAGAAACATGATATAACAATAAAAGGAAACAAAAATTCAGTTTTCTTACAATCAATCAAATTTTTCATTTAAGCTCTCTAGCTGTTCAAATAAAATAGTGAAAATCTTGCTATAGATTTCAGGATTAGAAAGATATTACAAGAAACACAACAATAGTTTGAAGATACAATTTCTTGATAATACTGTTTCAAAAAGGTGAAGTATGAACTCTTATTGTTTACCATTTTTATGTCCTGCATTGTATAGGTTGTGGCAAATAACATTACACTACTTACCTGGAATCACTCCAGTAGCATAACCGTATACATATAGAATATCTGGTGCCGAGTTATTCTAAAAGAATGATGCCTATTCAACACATATACATACAGTTACTGAGATATTAAGTATACAAAAATTATTTTGCTCTTTAAGACTACATGTTTTAATCTCAAAATTCTTTACTTGCTTGTAAAGAGAAATAAGATAATAAATTATTTATTTTTTAGGTTGTGTAACTTACATAATTTGAAAATGGTGACATATTTGATGCAGATATGCCTAAAAACAAACAAATTTTAACTGATTTGTATTTAAGAAGTCTTCTTGAAATGCAAAGTTATTTTGAGTTAGCTATTATACTGAACTAATGTGGACCAACAGAAATATCACATTGCTTGAGAAGATACTACAATACACTCGAGCTTGAATAGGCAGTTTGATGTTTTATACAAGTTCTTCATTTCAATTAGTCAATCTTTTCATGGAAAACATTTAATTCAATAAATCTTGTATCTAACTCTAGGTATCTGTTACTATCGGAACTTAAGACACTGCCGTGAAAATGGTTTTCAATTGCACTAGAGGGTAATGAATTTGAAATATTTCTTTTCATTTCTTCTTGCCTATAAACTATAATAAGTTGTTTGGATACCAAGTGAGGGATTTTTAATTAATATATATTCTGCAATATAAAGGCGTTTATAAATTTAAATGAACATGCATTCAACTGTAGCACTTCTTGGATGTGATTAAGTTTCAGATGTAGCTCTTCATAATTCTGTGAAATTTTACATGCTCTATGCAAGAGAAAATGTAAATTATTTTCTTTTGATTAAAATGATTAAGAACTGTTTGCATAGCAGAATAATCCTGTTTATGTTGGTTTAATGTACTGACTTAACATACAATTATGTTATAATCAAGAGTATATAAAACCTCAACAAAAATATCTCAATTTCATAATCACAGTTCAGAAATGTATAGTGAGTCATCACAGTAAAATAATGAATTTTACAGAAAAGAATCAGTGTAATAGATTTAATCTAACAAAAAATTATAGAAAAGCAAAATAAGATATGAAATTAATACTGTAAGAATGGCAGTCACATAATTCTTTGTTATCTTATTAAAGTCCTTCAAAACTACTCAAATTAATTAATATTTACAGAAAAATAAGCATCATTTGAGAGATTAGCCTGTTCACGGCAGCTGTCACATGTATGGGTTAGACTTTTTACTTTTGTACACTGCAGCTGTTCCATATATGGGATTTCATTTTTAAATTTCCCATGTGAACTGGTAAGTGGCATTTATGACTGTTGAGGCACCAAAGCATTGTTATCAAACAATGGGTCAATCATTTTTTGTCTTTTCTCATCAGTACTCTTTACAACGTCAATGAAATCCCATATATGGCATGGCCACAGTGTAAAGAAGAAAAAAGTCTGACACCTATAAGTGATAACCACAATGAATGGATCAAAGTTTAAGTTACTGCCTAAAATGGCTTATGTTATAGTATATAAGCATGTTATGACTTTCTATCTTCTTATTTTAATATAGTATTATTCTCAATTTATCAGCTATTCTGTGTGTGTTTTCAAATAACATGGTCAAGAAATTGCTTAATTTATTTTGTTCTAGCTGCTTTTGTTCCTTTGTCATTCTCTGAAGCTAAGACCTATTTCACCCATTGGAGGATATGGCTTTAATGTTACATGTTGTGCAAGGACATTGACAGCAGTGTCCTCCAATGGTAAGTCAGGTGATATCTCAAGATTATTACCTCCCATATGTTTCAAAGGGATTGACCTTTGGCACACACACACATCCTGAGAATTTAGTATCTTAGAGTTTAGTACACAATACTAAAACATTTTAGTTAGCCCTCCCTCTCTCTCAAGCTTTCAGTTTCATAAATAAAGCTTAAGTCCTTTCTTTTAAAACAATAATACTATCATCAAGTTTAACCTGTAACCTATTTATTAAACATCTTAATAACTTCTTAAAACTTTAAAGACATAACATAGTAAAGGTGCCATCCTTTGCCCTATCACATTATTTCAGTTGTTTTGTGTGAATAAAAGAGTATTTAGTTGTGTATTTTGTAGGTTTGTGTCCAATCTCTTTCTTTCTCAAACTCAAAAACTTGTTGTATATCCTGTTATTCTATGGATCTTTTGCATTGCTCCATGAACAATTAGTTTTTGCCTCAATAATACATACCACAATATTATAGATTATCTTCTGAACTTTGAAACATTACTATATGCTGTAAGGCTCTTAGGTATATTTTCATTAAAAACAATTATATGCAAAAGTAGTAGCTTTCCCAGCTTAAATTGTTTAAGTTACACCAAATATTATCAAGCATTGCACTAGATAAACTGAATATCTGAAGAAAGTTAGTCAAACAATAAAAGAGACTAATATACTTTAAGGTTTACTCAATGACCCGACTGGTGATAGATTTATTTGTTCACCTAAATGATACCTTATATACATAATGGGCTAAATGGCCAAGTCAAAGACCCCTGTAATCCAGACACAGCTGTCTATAATTTTGAACTGTGGATCAGATGAAAGGTAACCCAGCAGCACCTACAGTTTATAGCAGTTGTTATTAACAGAATAACAGGATTGACTCTTAACATACCCACATATAAATGTTCAAAGTGTGAATTATAGCATCAGTCCAATATACTAACCAACAGCCATTCTAGGACCCATTAGTAACAGAAGTCTTTGAGTTGGTTGGTTCGAGTTTAATGGCACAAAGCAATATCTGAAAAAAGCAAAAACTATCTGTACAAAAAAGTAAATCTCTATAAAAAAGTAAAATGAAAACAAGCTAAACAAGGCCCTAAAAAGCAGGTAAAAAATTAAATAAAATGAAAAAGGCCAATGGCTCCCAAAAATCTAAAAACACAATCAAGCTGGACTGTGTCACCATTGCAAATGACACTGTTCAATGTAAGGAGTAAACTCTTAAAGTAAAATGGTGCCACCACTCACATTTGTAATGATGGCATGCAAGTAAGAAGGTGGGCAATTGAAACCTGAGTGTCACAAAGGGCACACATCGAAGGATCAGTCCCACATGAAAGAAAACAATAAGTAAAAAAACTGTGACCAATGCATAGTCTAGACAAGACTACTTCCTTTCTCTGATCCTTACAGAAACTAGACAGCCAAAGAACAATAGTTGGTTTCATTTGGAAAAGCTTGTTATGAACTTGCTCATCCCAAATTGACTGCCAATTGATGCAAAGCCATGCCTTGATCACAGGACTGCAGTCCATATAAGGGACAGGCACAGCCGTGAAAATGCCAGAGTAGACGGACTTAGTTGCAGTATCATCAAGCTCGTTCCCATGAATACCAACATGGCCAGATATCCTGACAACTGGATAGAAATGAATGACAGAGAAAATAGGGCCAGTCATTTCTGAATATCTATGAGAACAGGGTGAGAACTCAGGCAAAGCAATTCCAGGGCCATTAGAGAGCTAAGAGAGTCAGTATAAGTAGTACAAATAGTGTAGTGCTTAGCTTCTATGTGATCCAAGACCAGAGAAATGGCATACAACTTGGTGGTGAACACAGAAACTGAAGCAACCATTGAGCCACAATAAACCATGACAAATTTCACAGAGTCACCAGACTTAGAACCATCCATAAAAATGGGAACAGAAGAATGGCTTGAAAAGATGTTTGGCAAAGAGAAAACAGAACTTCCAATTGGGAGTATCCATCCTCCTCAAATGACTCAAAGAAAGATCACAGGTGTGGATGGTAATGAGCCATGAAGAGATGGGCTGATTATTGGACTCAGCAACATCATCTAATGACAGATCCAACTCTACCAGCTGTGCCTGGATACCAAGGCCAAATGGAGGAGTGGTAGACCATCGATTCTCAAAGAGCAAAGCCCACTGAGGAAGGAAGGCACAACTTCAGATAGGATACTGGTAAGGATTGCAGCTTGATATAAAGAAAGTTGCAAATGTTGGAGGTTAATTCCCAAATGGCACACATGATCTAATATGGAAAGGCTTCAAAGCAGGACACAAACCAGCACTAGTTCGTCAATTAAAAAAAAAACGAATACATTCTTTCTGTAAGAACTTGCATATTTACAATGACAATCTGTGGAATATTAACCTGGCCAAATAACAAGCACTTTCATTTCATTTCTAGTTCATTATGAAGTTGTCAAATTAAATGGTGAATTATATAAAAATAATAATAAAGCTAACTCTTGAAGATGTAAGATATGAAACCATACACAACTACCACTATAAGCAAGTAAAACAGTTATCAAAATCTGATTGTAGCATGTTGTATAGCTTGTAAACAGCAATGGTTTATAGGGAAGTAGATGTTTACATGATAATATCAAAATTCAGCATCCTAATTTAGCTTAAAATGTAAAAATGTTTTAACCCCCACAATAGAAAGTTAATTCATCAAATTAAATTGTTAGTCATCACTATTATTCACTGAACAGCTGGAATGTTTCCCAGTTTGCCCCCAAAGAAGAAGAAGAAGGTCCACTTTTTGGAAACAACTAGGCATTTCATATTCCTAGAAATCAGGAAAGATCGAGAAATACGATGTAATATTAAAAATTTTATATTTGATTAATTTATCTGATTCAGTGTGAAAAAACAAAAAAACATCCTGTTGCATGTAAAGTCAGTTTCTGATCTTTTTATATCTATTAAAATGAAAGACTGTATCCCTACATAACAGTGATATATAGGAACCATTGTATCAAGTGTAACTTACTTTATGAGCAGTCAGTAAGGAGACTGTGCAATTGATTTGAAGAAACTAACTATTCAGATTCAACTGAGAAATAAGACTGTCCAAACCATCAAGGCTGGTACTTTTACTTCTGGTTTTCAAACTTCATGTCAAGCGAGTTTATATTCAATACTTAACTGGTAAATGGTGTCGGATTTCTTTAGCTTCTTATTTTTGTTAAACACTTAGATGAATTTATATAAAACACAGTAACAATTCCCTAAACAACTCACATTGACATAATATGATACCTGGTTTTAAGTATCAACATTTTAAATTAATTTTTCAATAATACTGCTGCCTGTTGTGAAAATCATGAACATAAACCTTGTTTGGCTACTTAATCCTAGAATTACTGATTGGGGACATTTTAAACACATTTTTGCACAATTTTTACACGGGAATGCTTGTATGTTCAAGACTTTGTTGATTACAGGAATCCTAACAGCATACGAGTCAAACAAACAAATTTAAACAAGATCATCAATATTGCAATTAAGAGTATTTTCACCCAATTTCTTTGGTCAATTTTTTTATACTGATTATTGTAACAGGCAAACATTACCTAATATGTGAATTCCACTGATAGTAAATGGTATAAATGCAATATAAGCAGTTTGAAAATTAAAGTACCTTGCTGTGGTAATTAATATTCATTCATTTCCAAAACAAAAACTAGCATATTGAATTCTCTAAGAAACATGGCCCAGGGTAGCCTAATTCTTATTCTACTTTATGATAATTCCTAGAAAACTGAAAATAGTGAAACTCCTGTTACAAGGTTTTATATACAAGCACAGACATATATGTGCATTCTATTATTCACAGTATTATTTATGTTAGTTTATAAACCGACAGTTACAACATTTAGTTTCTGTTTCTATTAGCAGACACAGTATTAGTTACTCTATGCTGTAGCTGTTCTTTACATATGTCTGTTTTATTGCATTGTGTTTTATAGATCAAAAACAGAGTCTAAAATCAAATGAAATTTAGGTTATGAAAGAGGGATAATAAAGTTTGCTTAGTTAACAAAAGCCACTAACTTCTTTACTACAGTAATTAAATACCCATTTTATAATGCTGTTTAACTTATTTCCAGAAAAACAAACTACTAACAGATGTTACGACATCTGCATTAAAAATATATCATATTATACTGTTTACATAACTAGTGATCATGTTAAACATGTTAAACTGTCAGAACTGTCTGAAATATGGTACAAGTAATTTATTCTGGGACAGGTAAAATTTTAACTTCAATTTTTTCACTGGAAAGGCTGGTTTAAAAACTTTGCAATTTCTCACAAATAATTCTCTCAAGCATTGGGATGATGCAGGTGATCCAACTCAGTATAGTAGCTATAGCAGAGATGAAGTTGAATAGGTTTTATCTTTTTTATATGGAAATTTAAACCAGATATTGATGAAAATTCAACTACTACTATTCTACAATAACTGTAATTATTAATGCTAATTTTTATGTGAAAGTAAAGAAGAATGCAATATAATGTTAATAATAATAGTGTTTTTTTCTGCAACCTATGTATTTTATTAAAGTAATATAACTTTATGTTTATTTTCCTGGACAGTTCACCCTATAATTATTTTCATTTAGTCATAACTGTTTTATTTTGACACCCAAATTTGTATATATATATATATATATTTCTCATTTTGTTCTTAAATCTGTATATTTCATTAGATGATAATTGTTTACGAGTGAAAAAGAACTTCTAACACAATTTCACACACAAATGATTATAATACTTTCAAAACTAATTCAACAGTTCATGTACTATGTAAGCAAATGACATATCATATAAGCAACCCTTGGGCTTGTGTTGACGTATTCCAATATAAAAAACTGTACAAGTCCTTTTAAATAAAGTCCAATGACACTAGAGCATTAGCCAATTATCTATTCTTAAAGATTTAATAATAAAAAAAACAGAAATTCTAAAACAAAAATTATTTATAGTATCCACACCACAACAAGTGTACTAATGTTCTAAATTGATGTAAATTGTCTGTTAAGAGTGCTGTTCTACTCCTGGAGAAATATTATTAGTGGGGAAGACCCTGTGTCTTACTCCTATCCAGATTCATGGTTTGATACAAGTTTCAGAAGCTACTCAGATAAATAATGTAAAAGCCCATTTAGCTGTGTGGGAAATGTCAACTTTAAAACAAAATAAACTATTTTTTCTTTTAATTTTGATTTAATATATGCATGTACCATACACACAAAATATAAAGGCAGGTTACAGGGAAGAACCAATCTTTTTCATATGAGCATAAAAAAATGTATTTTCTAAGTTGCTATATACCATAACTATACATCTAAATATATGCCATAACCAAGCACATGCAATTTAAAAAAAACAAAGAAAATAACATAAAATATTTAAAAACTGTTGCAAATAATTAATACAAGTTTTTATATTCAAAAATATTTGAAAAGAAAACATGACAGAATTTATTACAAACAAATATAATACATGACAATTAATTATGACACAGTTCCAGTTAATTTTACATTATGGCTAGTAGCTGTCTTGGACTTGCTAGTTGGGAAAAAGGATTAACAACCATTTGCTAGAGTCTTCAAAAGTTAAGGTTGAGTAGGATCTGAAAATTTATTTTCTATTAATTTTTGTTCAAATTTTATGTTAGTTACGTAAGTTAACAGAATAAAAAAGAAAAAAAACAGACACCATTTTTAACATCAACCTACCGTTTCTTTACAGAGTGTATGTGCTCAAAATCAAACCAGAACACAACTGAGAAGGCAAACAAGTTGGATACTTGAGCAAAGAAACTGTGAGGAAGAACATTAACAATGAATTTATGACTGTAATATCAGGGTCAAATCTGCTTATTTTCCATTATTAAAATCTTACATCAGGGAAAAGAACATGCTAGGTTACAGCTATAAAACTATCAAGGAAAGTAAAAAAGCTCTTAGGTTTAGTAAACACAGTAGATTTTGTTAAAAGATTATCATAATTTATAAATAAAATAAAACACACACAATATTGCAATTTAGTACTTACCAAGAAACAGTTTAAAATAATCCTGTATTTCTGCAAGCTCCCCAATTATCTTAGTAAATTTTAGTATAATTCATCAACACACTATTCTCCCTGAGTCTGAGAAGTTTCTGAAACTCTTTAAGTATACATTTTAAAAGCTTCAGAAGTCCTATTTATCTCTTAACAACAACAACAACAACAAAAAAACAAACAAACTTAAAATGAACCAGAACCTGAGCATTACAGCAGTTTTATTAGAAAAGAAAACTGTTCTCAAGTGAATAATTAATAGGTTAATGTCTTAGATTAAAAAACCCAGGAAACAAATCAGGTTACTGTTAAACTCACTTGCAAAAAATCAAATTTCACTGTTTCATCGATAAGTTGCATGTAAAGGGGAGTAAAAACTCTTGAAGAATATTTATATTAAAAATTTTATAATTTTGTTACATGCAAGAAACAAGGATAGTGCTAGTACAATTTACTATGCCAGCTAGAACAAATGATCCAATTGGGTGTAGCCATAAATATGCCTTGAAAATGTCATCAATTTACACTAACGAGTTGCATGCTTCATATAGTCCTTGAAATTCCTGTATTTGATCACTAAGTTTTCTTTTAATATTTTGCAATTTTTTTTTATCATATTCATAACTCTTGTAACAATTTTATTTTTAAACACTTAATAAAGTTAGTTTTACATATGTGATTTGGTGCATCCTATTATATTAGTTATCTTCAGTCAACCAATAAAATATGTAAAATCTTGTGTTAATCCAAGTGATGGTCCCTTTTTTCTAATATATGTGAAAATGATGATTTAAAGTAAGTGTAAATATACCACACTAAAGGGCTAGCTTTAGATATTTTGTCAACCTAGGCATTTTGAAAAGTTCTCTATAATAGATCTTCTACACCATTATCATTGATAAACATATATATATATATGTAACATTACATTAACACAGTGTTGTATCTTCTAGTAAACCTTTACATTTTTAGAATTAAATTGAATTTCAAATATATACTTTACCTCTGAAATATGAAAAGCCTTTCCTTCTTGATTTTTCCTCATTCTATTAATAACCACAGGACTACAATTTAAATGTCCTTGAAACAATGCCAAACATGTCTGAACTTACCCAAAGTTCCCCCCCCCCCCCCCCCATCTTCCAAGTGACTTTTTCACCATGCTCCAGATTTTGTAGTTGCAGTCAGGATGGGGAAGCACACATCTTCCTGTTGTGGAAAGATGGGTGGGAATGCATTTCTGAGTTAAGTACCTGTTTGAAATTCACTAAAACTCAAAAAGCCAGAGTACCAACATTAAGATA